TCTCTTCAAGATAGCCCAATTTACCTAGATAACAATGTTTCAAGGCAATATTTTACATTTTCCTTATTTGTTTAAATAAATCGATTTAAACAATAACTGACAACTTTTCAGTCGGGCAAGATTCATTTCCACAATCAGTGATACTAGATAAAGAGTATCCTGCATGAAATTCCGGCCCATAATTTCCGCAGCGAATGCGACGAATTCGCCTCGACTATTACGGGTGTCTCGCTAAATAACGCATTTTTCGCTAACGTATGCCGCTCGTCTATTCGCAAACGTTGGCTACCTACCGGCCGAAACGCTTCTTGGACTGCGACTGCGCGAAGCAGAGTAGCAGCTAGCTAAAAGGTCTATCAGTGTACTCTTGATACATTGCAGAGCTCCACAACCCTTGCTTCGCGCATCTCTGTTTGTTTGAATGTTCCCAGTGTGTTGTGCGGTGTTAATAAAGAGGGTGGTGTAATAGCAGTGTGTGTGTGCATCATGCTCCCCTGGTCATCGAATGTGCGTGCTGACGATGATCGCAGAGCACCAAGTTTCATCAACTGTGCCTCGACGAGCGAGCGCCGACGTCGGCCCGTCATCTGCTATACGACCTGGCAGACCCGAAGATCTCCATCGCAGCAGCATAAAACCTCGGCGACTTGCGTCATATCTGCGTGGTACTTGGCCTCGTCTGCGTGGCAACAACGTGAGTAATTTCGATTATTTTTTGCCTCCGTAGTACGAGCCCTTACACATTAACGCAGCTCGTGTACCCGGTTTGTTTGTCGGCGAATGTGTAGGAGCAGCATGCTCCAAGTGCGAAAGAATAATAGAGACCGATTATTATTATTCTCAATGAGAGTTTTCTTGTACAATCGCACATTTTCGTATAATTATTTCTTTGACCGTCAATTTCCTCTTCTCTCTCGCTGCCGGGAGTCGAGGCGGCGGAGGAGAAGTGCCGCGCGACGCGTGTGTTGCCGGCTGCTATTATAGTCCAATCAATAAAGGTTTTGAAAAAAAAAAAATTCGCAACCAGAATTTTACGACGGATTCTTATTCTGGGTACCCTAAACAACTAATTTTCATAAAATGCCACTGTTTTTTGTTCCTACGTTTTTGTTTATAAGCCTTTAAAAATGCAAAAAAGCATATTGTAATTTTTAGCTCGTAAAGTATAAGTTTTACGATAAAATGTTTCAAACAAAAGTTGTAGGCATTTTCAAGACCTTTATTCTGGTATTTTTTCATATTTTTTCGTCCATTTGTTTATTCTCTAGGTCGAAAAACCTCTAAAAGTGGCCGTTTTTACAATTGTTTATAATTATTTATTAAAACGTGCTACGGCAATGAAATCTTGAGGAAATGTAGCCCTCGTTACGCAGAATCCAATGCATTTTTCAAAATCTCGCTAAGTGCATTATTTATCGAGATATTGCATTTGTTTATTAAAAAACACTCCCCTAGAGAATGTTAATTAACTTTGTGTTGGCTCAACGTACGAAGACCAGACAGGTCGCAAATGAAAGATAGAGACCTCCCAGTTAATTTGCAATAATAAAAACGATAATTTGTTCATGAAGACTTGCAAAATACAGACCAGATATAAATGGGTACGAAAATTCTTATAAACAAATTGACTTATCTGCCGAACCAGAAGTCGTAAGTCAAATCGAATTTCGGCATCTTATTCCTTGCATTATTACGCAAATTTAAAAAAAAATTGACCTTTCTAACTATATTAGAAACAAAGTTAGGCTTTTTTTTTAAAAAAACCACCACGGCTTTGTTTATTAACATTGAAAGTTGAAATTTTGTATACATTCGAACAAAATGTTGAACTTTTATATGTAAACGAATGCAACTATCAATCACCGTTATTTTTGCAACGATAATATTATTAACTAAGAAAACATTCTGACTCTGTCCTGCACTCGCACGGGTAGCTGAGTATGGGGAAGGCCGAGACGAGCTGTTCGGCCGCTCGAAAAACTTGAAATTGACTTTTCAAAATGAAGAGCGCTGGAAAAAATAACGTTGTCTCGGCTTCTATTGAAAAGATTTGAAAAAAAAACAAACATTACAAATTGCACATAACCATTAATGAAAAAGGTTGAATACAATTAATTTTTTTATAATTAACAGTTGTCAATTAAAATCATACATGGTAAAAATATTAATTAATCAAATTATTTTATCGCCCAAAACCGACGAGAATATATCACCTTAAAATAAATCGTTAATTTAAATAGATTTCGACTTGGTCAAGCTCGCCTCGGCCTTCCACCACTCCGCTACCCGTGCGAGTGCAGGACAGAGTCAGAATGTTTTCTTAGTTAATAATATTATCGTTGCAAAAATAACGGTGATTGATAGTTGCATTCGTTTACATATAAAAGTTCAACATTTCGTTCGAATGTATACCAAATTTCAGCTCTTAATGTTAATAAATAAAGCCGTGGTGATTTTTTTAAAAAAAAAGCCTAACTTCGTTTCCAATATAGTTAAAGAGGTCAATTTTTTTTTAAAATTTGCGTAAAAATGCAAGGAATAAGATGCCGAAATTCGATTTGACTTACGACTTCTGGTTCGGCAGATAAGTCAATTTGTTTATAAGAATTTTCGTACCCATTTATATCTGGTCTTTATTTTGCAAGTCTTCATGAACAAATTATCGTTTTTATTATTGCAAATTAACTGGGAGGTCTCTATCTTTCATTTGCGACCTGCCTGGTCTTCGTACGTTGAGCCAACACAAAGTTAAGTAACATTCTCTAGGGGAGTGTTTTTTTTATAAACAAATGCAATATCTCGATAAATAATGCACTTAGCGAGATTTTGAAAAATGCATTGGATTCTGGGTAAGGAGGGCTACATTTCCTCAAGATTTCATTGCCGTAGCACGTGTTAATAAATAATTATAAACAATTGTAAAAACGGCCACTTTTAGAGGTTTTTTCGACCTAGAGAATAAACAAATGGACGAAAAAATATGAAAAAAATACCAGAATAAAGGTCTTGAAAATGCCTACAACTTTTGTTTGAAACATTTTATCGTAAAACTTATACTTTACGAGCTAAAAATTATAATATGCTTTTTTGCATTTTTAAAGGCTTATAAACAAAAACGCAGGAACAAAAAACAGTGGCATTTTATGAAAATTGGTCTTTTAGGGTACCCAGAATAAGAATCCGTCGTAAAATTCTGGTTGCGATTTTTTTTTTTTTTTTACATAGGGACAGATTTTCATTGATTGGACTACTACGATATCTATGTGGCATTTCACCTCAACTCTCCCAGTGCCGCGAGGCCCGGCAGAATTAAGTCAAATCACTAAATTTGTAAATCGCTGTAAAAGTATTAAAATGCACCTAGAGAAAAAAACAAAGTCATGACTTCGATGGAAAATCACCTCAGCTTTTCAATGGTGAGGTCAGATTTTCGGAAATTTTCCGCTTTACCCGGGAAAATCGCTGAGAAAACTTTAAAGTCCATTATCTCGAAAACTTCATTTTTAAGATTTCTTTAAATATTCCAGATTGAAAGATGAGGAAATTTTCCATCGATTTAGACATTTTCCAGAGAGGCGTTTTTTGATTTCAGCGAGATATAGCGAGAGAAAGAAGAAAAAACGTTCCGCGCGCTGCGCAGGCCAGGCATGCAAATACCATGAAAAAGCCACGTTTTTTCTTCTTTCTCTCGCTATATCTCGCTAAAATCAAAAAACGCCTAACTGGAAATTGTCTACATCGATGGAAAATTTCCTGATCTTTCGATCTACACTATTTAAAAAAATCTTAAAAATGAAGTTTTTGAGATAATCGACTTTAAAATTTTCCCAGCGATTTTCCCGGGTAAAGCGGGAAATTTCGGAAAATCTGACCTCACCATCGGAAAGCTTAGGCGATTTCCCATCGAAATCATGGGTTTGTTTTTTTTCTCTAGGTGCATTTTAGTACTTTTACAGCGATTTACAAATTTAGTAATTTGACTTAATTCTGCCGCTTCTCGCGGCACTGGGAGAGTTAACGTGAAATGCCACCTATATATATATGTCGTCTCCAACTCTCACCACCGCACCACTGCAAACTAAATTTCGATATTGTGAACAATTTTGCACTGACACTTTTATAATAGGGAGTGTATTTCTATGTAAAATTTTACGATGAATCGATTGGTGCAATTAATTTTTCCGTGTCTTGCTTCTTTCCCGAAACATGAGCAAAAATAAGCTGGCTATTCTGAATCGAATGTCTAACTTGTCGAAAAGCTGAGGTAATATCCTATCGAAATAATGGGTTACTTTTTTCTTCTTGGTGCATTTCGACACTTTTTATATAAGTTGTAAGCGCCCGGACACTTGGCGTGGAATACCTCATGTACAACAGTGGAGGGGGTAAAGACGCTGCAGCAACTTATAAGTTCGTATATACTGTTGGACGCGTAAGGCAGGGAATAAGTTGTACGCAGACAGCAGTAAGCCAACATCATGTTTTGTGTTTTTGTGCTGAATCCATTGATACAGGCATTCGAATTGAAATAAATGAGTGCGCTAGTTCTCGCGTGTGTCCATAAATGATAAAATGAATAGATGTCCGGTACTACGTGCGACGAAATATCGACACATTATTGAATATTGTTTGTATACGAGCATGGAATCGATATAAAAAACTGTGTTCACCACAAATCGTTTGCGGGTGTGTATTGTTCGTGTGTGTGTGCGAGCCCGTAGATTCAGCGTCTGTGCGTGTGAGAGTGTATAATACACGATCGTGTGTGTAGATAAATATTACATGTACACATGTAGACCTCTGACTTCGGCAGCAAAAATTCTTTGCATCGAGAGAGAGAGAGAGAGAGAGAGAGAGAGAGAGAGAGAGAGAGTGCTTATGAGTAATGCCACGAGTGTATTATAAAGAGAAAGAAATTTATACACGCTCGCACTCACACATGCACAGTCAAGAGGTCTCCATCAGAATACGAGAAAGAGGAAGGGGTTACGAGAAGAGAAGCCTTCCATAATATCGCAGAAGCACAAGGAATCGTTTGCTTATTTTAACGATAAAAAACATATCAAAGGTTTGTACATTTCTAAAATTGCATCCTCTCCGAAATGTACTTTATGTTTGTGCGTGTACGCGTGTGTGTGTGTGCGTGTATAAAACAACGCAGTGCCGATCACTTGTTGCTCGCGGCGCGCGTGAAAGCGTTTGTTCGTTCTCTCTCACACACACACACACACTCTCTCTCACTCGGCATGCGCAGTTCTCAATACAAGCGCCTCTGCGGAATTTCGCCGTTTTATATATCTCGCACATTTCGCACACGTATCCTACTGCTGCAAAGAGAAAAGAGAGCATTCAAAGGTGCACTCGACTATATAGAGATTGGTGGCGTTCTTATATATATATATGCTATTGCTGCCGCTACTCCTGCGAGACGGTTATAGTGTATATACCAATATGAGCCAACGACCTGCTCGCTCTCTCGCACACATAGGTGTGTATATACTATAGTATATACGTACTATATATGGTCAAATCTTTAAAAAACAAAAAAACAGTTTCGCCAGCAATAAAAAACCAAATTTATGGATGTGGTACTGCACTGAGATAGACAAGAGACTGGTACCCGTGGTTTTAATTATACAACAGAAATTTAAGCCCCCATGCGTTTTAGAGGGTGCGAGAAACACTGTACTTATTCAGCTCAGGGACTGCTTGTGTTATACACAATCTCTCATCTAATCCATCTGTATGCTGTTAAAGTATACAGTAACGACAGTGACAGCCTACCAAGTTCAACATTCAGAACTCGGTTTAAAATGTTGTCAGTGTCGTGTAGTGTTAATGCTTGAGCCGTTTAAGGTAATTGCTCAGCATACTTCGACGAGAAAAGTCGCTATCATGTTACAGGAAAAGTTAGTTTTCTTGTGACAAGAAGAGTCAGTTTTCTTATATAATATAATATAATCATATAATTTTAATCCGAAAAAAAAACACTAGAGGTAGAACCCCAATAATACACTAGTTGTCTACCAACGACTAAACGATGCTTAATAGATGATAGACTCTTACTTTATATGACCCCGCTAGTAATCTAAGAGATGAAATAGTGATCAACTTAATAGATAGTAAATTAATAAAGAAAAAGAAATGAATAAATAAAATTAATAATCCAATATGCTTTAATTATAGGTACGAAGAAGCGTGAAGCTAGCGAAGAAATTAAATTCGATCAACAGCTAATAAAGTTGGTTAATAGATATGGAATTTATAGATAAACCGAACTCCTGGATTCCCGCCTATGGTTTTTTAATACAACAGCATCAGCCCAAAGAGAGTTCAAACGGTTCGTAAAGCAAATAATACTTTTGATTGTTGTAAATTACTTGATGCTGTTTACATTTAATAATTGCTTGAATAATGATAGTAATATTTTCATATTACTCTAACTTAAAATTTCAAAATCTCTAGAGAAAATCGAATAAAGAAAATTTTTTTTAATTATGTTCACAGACTCAATGGGATTGCAACAGATAGATTTTCTTGAGACAATAATTGAAGAGAATTCTGACGATCTTCTGACTGATACCTCGTGGGTGGATTCCGAAACCGATGAGCACATCGCAGGTATGAGAAATTCAAACATTTTATTATGTCAATAGTCGATGTGTCCTTTAAATTTCGAGTTAATGAACTACGTAACGATTAGCGCGCTTAGAACAGTCTCCCGCGTGCCGAGCCAGCCTGCACGGTATGTGTTAGTCCTTTGCACGTGCACAAAGCACCCCTGCCGAGGTATCTATGTGATTATTTGTATTGCTTTCGCGCGCACACGCTCATATACTAGGGCGTAAGTACGCGCTTACACACATATATATATATGGGCTATATTGCGTCAACTGTCCCCCCCCCCTTGGGTCATAGTTGTAATTTGATTTTTCATATTTTATTCTGCTTTCCAAGAATGAATAGTATGAAAAAATGATTGAGACATGATTTTTTATGTAAAATTTGATGAGGAATTCAAATTTGATGTCAAAAATTATATTCATAAGTCCAAGTACCTTAATTTCTAAATTTCAGCTTAAATGGCAAAAATAGACATGTTCGTATCCAGCGATATGGCCAATATTGTAATATGTTCATCGATACACCAAAATACAACTTCTGATAAATTTTGGTAGTTAGTCGACAAACAGATTTCATAATTGACCTTCCTATGTTCCAATAAAACATGATTTTTCTCTAGATTTCCTCTATTCTTGACACATATGAAGGTCAATAATGAACTCTGTTTGTCTGCCAACTACCAAAATTTATCAGAAGTTGTATTTTGGTGTATCGATGAACATATTACAATTGGCCATATCGCTGGATACGAACATGTTTATTTTTGCCACTGAAGCTGAAATTAAGAAATTAAGGGACTTGGAGTTTATATATATGATTTTTGACAACAAATTTGAATTCCTCGTCAAAATTTACATAAAAAATCATGTTTCAATAATTTTTTCTTATTCACCTTTGGGAAGCAGAATAAAATATGAAAAATAAAAACAAAAAGAGGGGGGGACAGTTGACGCGATATATCCCATATATATACTCGTACAGCGACGGACTTCACACGATATCTTAGATAAGCGATGTATCTGCTGGCTGTCAGAAGCAACGCGTGCTGCAAGCTGGGTTACTTGCCTCCAGGCAGCGAAAATGTGCGATGTAATTATTGTGCGTTGCAAGGCATTAGATGTAAATCGGGCGAGAAATTGATTGACGTTAAATACTAGCTCTAGTCGGAAGTTTTAGAAAAGAATATGCCGCGTGTTTCTACGAGAATTACGTTGGTCAGTTAAAGAGTTAATGAAACGTCCGAGCCAAGATCTCAGCGGGAAGCTACATGCGGTGTTCAAACTTGTTACTTGTAATTAAGTACTGTCTTACATTGAAATTGGGGTGGGGCTGCGTCTTCTCTGCGAGGGGTTGACGGGCAACCCTTTTAAAATGTGTATATATGGGGTTCGTGCGATGTCTTTAATACTTATTATTTTCAATTGCAATCGAGGTATTTTTAATAAATATAAAGGGAACGTTTAAAAAATAAAACATGTCTTTTATTCGTTGCAAAAAAGCCGCATGTACTATAAGTTTTGTTGCTGTCATCAATAAATAACATAACGCCGTTGTACTGTTAGAAAGTTTCTATCTTAGCGCTACCATCAACAGCGTACTTAATGCGAGCTGACAACACACTCCCCTATATTGACTCAATTTTCCAAACGGGTTAGCAAGGCAGGATCAACGCATCTGATCAGCAAATTCGTCACTGTTGCAATGTATTCGTAATTACAAGTTATATTTGTGCTTTTTTAATGACAAAATCCGCAATTGTTTAAAGTGTAAATTGCCATTCGACGCGAGGTTGTGGTTTAGAGAGACTGCAAAGCTCCTGTAGGTAATACGAAGTCAATCACAGCTGCGTTGCCGATTGCCAACTTTAAGGCTTCTTTTATATTCTTTCAAAGTTTAGCGCCGTTACGGGAGTAACACACGTCGGTAAAGCAAGTCACTTCTTTGCGAACGACTCGGCTCAGTCCTCCTTTGAAACTTTGAGGAGAGATAATTGGGTTAAGTATAGTTGATGTCTTTTCGTGAAATAACGGCCGCTTCGATGAATATTATTGCGCGCAAGAGCGATGGATAATAAACGATGAACGACCGAACGCAAATATTCACGTGCTTTTTGTCGAATGCTTCTTTTTTTTTTTTGTGCTGTTTACATTCGACTGCGAGCAGCATCGTTTTTTAAGCTCGCAGTCGCAACTCCGAGCACAAAAAAGCATTGTATCGCGCGCTTGGATTGTCACTCGAATCAACACGGATGCCACAATCTTTAATCGATGTATCGCGTACAGCAAATACAGATAATATTTGGTTATTCGAGCTTAATTTTTTATTTATTTACGTTATTTTACATCGAGAAACCCAAAAACCGTACGCACACGATAATTCATCATTTCATCTCACTTATTCTTTTGTTTTTTCGCAGTTGACAAATTAAACCATGCAAGTGGTCCATCGTCGTCGTCTTCCTCCAAGAGTTCCTTATTGCAATTCGAGAAGTTGGAACGTACGTGCTACAGTTACGACTCGCTTCAATTCAACAATAGAATACGCCACAGGAGAGACACGAGTCACAGAAAAAGGCTCGATCGTCCTATTTCGTATCTGCGAGACAGCCTCTCGCCGGACAGTCTCGAGCAGGACGACATCGGTGGCTTGAAAAAATTCCGGGCTTATCACAGCTATGAGAGTTTGAACGATCCTAATCTCTTCTCGAGCTGGAGCAATCAGGACAGACAATCGTTTTTCGGCGAAGCTTCAAATTATGCCAAAAATTGCGACCTATCCAGGTATTATAAATGAACCTTTTTTTTTTCTTGCGTATATATAGGCCGTGCACTCAGCTCAATTAAGATAATTCAAAAAATGACCATTTCAGAAGGTTATTTGCGTTTTATGCGTAAAATAAAAAAACAATGTCATTCTGGTGCTCTTATCGTGTGCGTAATCGCCATTATAGTATCAATAATCGGGAGAACGGCTTTAATAAATAAATAGAATAATTCGATCAATAATGCACCGAGCGCTATAATTTGTTTATTAGCATATCGATTCACTTGTCGCGCAGAAAAGTCTCTCTAAGAGAGGGAGAAAGAGAAAGAAATAGACGAATAGACTAGACCAAGAATGAATTTCTTGGCATCGTCTCTATCTTTTGCAGCCAGCTCACACGAACATATTTTTCTTGGCTTCGCAGTTCTTATAATATAAATAACGCGCCCATTCGCGTATGCGTGCGCAGACTTGACCCTGACAGAACTAGCTTCTATCTCTCTCTCTCTCTCTCTCTCTCTCTCTCTCTCTCTCTCTCTCTCTCTCTATCTTTCTCGCTTTTCACCAGACTTTTCATGCTCTATGCGCACGGAAAAATTACGTATCATACGGAAAAATGAAAAATTCTCTCTTGTTCTGCTCTTTCTCCCTTCTCGCAGTGCAGCCACCACCACTGGGTGCGCATTTTACCCAAAACAGATTAGAAGAGACAAAGAAAGCAACGCCGATCGATTGATTAATTCGCTCGTCTCCCCACCTCACTCTGGGCGACAAACTCTGTTCCCCTGTGTTTTTTCGTTCTCTGCCCTTCCACTCGAGATTTTGGTTTCTCCTATCTCCATGCGTTAAAATGCACTCTTTCGAAAAACGCGCCTATACCGTACACATTCCCCTAGTCCAGAATATATGTATGCATGGTCACGCGCGCGCAGCTCACTTTGCTGGTTCGTATATACAGCATGTACATGAGCATTTAAAAAAAAAAATTTGCCGTAGCAAAGATAAAAAAAATGAGAAAAAAAATTACGTTTGTACGCGCGTACTGTCGATTGGAAATTGCTACTGAGAATCCTAGAAGTAAAAAAAAATGGTTTGTTCTTGAAAAATTTTATAGGTGTACACTTTAAAACCTTTTGTCAACTAAATTCAACGTGAAAAATTCTGGGAAAATTTGAGGACACTTCTCGATCGGTTATAGAAATTTTTGTTCCATAAACTTTTTTTCTACACTTGGTTGTTTTCTAAGTTAAAAAATACTAAACGTTTATTTGATGTTTAGATAAATAATTTTTTTTCTCGGAAAATAATAAGTTTAGAAGAAAAGTTTACGGAACAATAATTTCTAAGAACCGATCGAGGAGTATCCTCAAAATTTTCCAGAATTTTTCACGTTGAATTCAGTTGACAAAAGGTTTTAAAGCGTACACCTATAAAATTTTTAAGCACAAACCATTTTTTTTACTTCTAGGATTATCAGTAGCAATTTCCAATCGACAGTACGCGCGTGCGTACAAACGTAATTTTTTTTTCATTTTTTTTTTATCTTTGCTACAACAAATTTTTTTTATACCTATTACATTTTTTAAAGTACAATCATTTTTTTTACTTCTAGGATTCTCAGTAGCAATTTCCAATCGTCGGTACCCGCGTACGAGCGAAATTTTTTTTCCAATTTTTCCGATATCTATGCAACGTTGAATGTTTTCCTGGAAGTGCTCATATATGCGCCGTGTGTAAACTCTATATACACACGTGCATTTGCTTCGAGGCTGCTACAGTGTATTATAACGTCGTGCACAAAAATCGATACGCTCGTGTCCCACATTTCAAAAAATGACTACGAAAATTCGAAAATTCTCTCTCTTTTTTTTTTCTTCTCGTCTTATTCGCTTTATCTTTTTTATTTCTTTCTTTTTCACAGAGATCCGTGGCACTTGAACGAGATCGACGACTACTCGACCGACGCGTCCAGGTCGAGCCTCTCGGACTCGTCCACCAGCCCGCCCTATTCCGTCGCGTCCTTCTCCGACGAGAACGAGAACGAGAACGAGGAGGAGCACTCGGTGCTGGTGTTCGGCGAGCCGACGGCGGCCACCCACAAGAACGCCCCGGTCTCGCGTAGCAGCCACGATCTGCGTGACTTCGGCCTGACGGACACGAAGGACGAGGAGGCGCGTCGACGCGAGTCGACCTTTCGCCGCCTCAAATCGTCCAAGACTAGCGCGAGCGACGCAACGTGCTTCGGCGACGTCGACCCAGCGGAAAATGCGGGGGTGGTGGCGGCGTTGGCGCGGGAGGAGAACGGGGAGGGGGAGAAGGACTTCGATATCGATCCGAGCGTGCAGCTGCGTACGACGAGCACCAGGCATCACCATCATCATCATCATCGTTCTCATCGTCCTCATCATCATCATCATTATCACGATAATCGTCGTCTTCGTCGTCGTCGTCGTCGTCGTCGTTGCTACTCGCAAGAGCAACGTCAACTCTGTAAAAATCATCATCCGCGCCACGATCGCCACGATGATCTACGCCAATGCAGCCCGAGCGGCAGCTGCAAAGACGCGACGATGCAAGTTCTGGCGAGTGCACTGAGCAGTCGCGAGTTTGGCGCAGACGCTGTAAAAGATTATAATTTTAGATTCGCAGACAAGTGGCGTAGCGCGCCCAGTCTGCCGGCCAGCCTCCTCTCGGTAGGTAAGCTCAGCTTAACCGTCGCGTCGTCTTCGTCGTCGTCGTCGTCGTCGTTTTCGTCGTCTTCGTCGTCGTCGTCGTCGTCGTCTTCATCGTCTTTGGCCGCAGAAGCATCGGCCGAGTCGTCTTGCTACCGCTACGACAGAGCGGTATCGCTGCCCGCTGGTCTCGATCTCTGTCGCACGTACTCGCGCGATTTACTGGTGGCCGACGATCGGCTGGCGCGCGACGATGACCTCGTGATCCGTGACATCGGCTACGTCGTCGCGAGACGAGAGGATAAAGTGACGGATAAACAAGTGCCTGAAGTGATCGAGTCGCCGAGAGGAGAGGAAGACAAAGAAGAAGAGGAGAAGGAAGAGGAAGAGGAAGAAATGGCCGAGGTCGCAACGATGAATCTCAACAACGGCGAGGTGTCGCTGGACGAGGCGCTGCTCCTCGAGCCCGGCAAGATCGTCGGCGAGGAGAAGCTGCGCATGAGACGACGCGGCGCCAAGGAGGGCTCCAGCGTCAAGACGCAGAATCCCCAGCACGGCAGCAAGGCGATCCTGGCCGATCTCGTGCTCGGCCGCGACGACGAGCCCGAGGACGCGAACAAAGCCACCGCCGCCGCCGCCTCTGTGGGGACGATCGGCCTGCCCACCACGCCGACGGTCAAGACGCAGGACCGCATCGAGTCTAAAGTCCTCGAGATCGCCATGGCGATGGAGAACGACGTCGACTTGGCCGTGGACGAGGCCATACGCCGGCTGAAGCGCGAGGTCGACGAGGCCACGAGCGAGTCGGCAGCCACCGATCGGGACGTCGAGGCACTGGCCAGCGCCCTCGAGGAGGCGCACACGCTGCAGCGCACGGGCAGCCAGCGCACGGCCAGCCAGCGCCGCGCCAAGAAGAACGCCAGCTACGAGCTGGCCCAGCAGTCGGTCGTCAACGAGCGCAATCTGCGCCGGCCCGCCGCCGACAGCCCCGCCAAGGTCTTCCACAAGCTCAACAATGCCAGCTACGAACTAGCCATACAGCAGCAGGACGTCATGAGGAATCTCTCGTTCAGCACCAAGCCCTACTACAGGATGGACGCGTGCGAGGAGGAGCCCGACGGCGAGCCTCAGCATTACTCGACCATCGTGTACGAGCCGCCGCCCGAGCCGCAGCCTCTCTCGCCTACTCGCGTGCTCGGCGAGGTCGTCACCAAGAAGCAGAAGCAGCAGCAGCAGCAGCAGAGGTCGCCCAAGAAGGGCCCGGATTCCAGTCCGTCCGGTGTGCTCGGTCAGCTAAAAAAAAACTCGGATTCATTTTTGGCTCCTGCGGATCAGCGACGGACGCGGAGTCAGCTCGCTGCTGACGAGCCGGACTTTCACGCTGCCAATAGTAATAGTAGTAGCAATAGTATCGACGTTAGTGGCCTCATGGAGATCAAGCCCATCCTGCCCCTTCATCAGAATCATCATCATCAACGCGAAGAAGACGCAACGACAATAACAACGACAACGACGAAAATCGCGAGTCCGCAGCGCGACAAGAGGCGAGAAATCGAGGAGGAAATCGTCGGTCGCAGCTTGATCGGCGATTTTTACGCTCGATTGCACACCGAGTCGCAGCAGCAGCAGCAAGAGTCGCGCGGCGTGTCGAAGAGCTGCGAAGACATCGAACGATATAGTCTGAAACATCCGACCGAGGAGCAGCAAGAATCGCGAACGGATAGAGAAACGGCTCTGCCCCCACTACGACCTGTGGCGTGTGTATTAAGTACGCGCAGCGTGCCGCGGCTCGTCGTCGGCAACAGCAGTAGTTCTCCAGTGTACGCAGCGCAAGCAGCGACAGCCGAGCCGAACGCGTATCGCGCCGCAGAAGAGAGAGCGAGCAAGTACGAAGACTGCGAGCCGATGAGGGGATCCAGCAGCTCGGAGCTCTCGGCCACGGCGGCCAAACGATTGGCCCTGAGCGGCGATCAACCGATCATCAAGCAGACGAGCAGCATGAACGCCCTGAACAGCATAGGCGGTGGTAGCGGCCAGGAGAAGCAGAAGAAGACCGGCTTCGGTGGCTTCCTGCAGCGCTTCTCCAAGCTGCGCTTCTCCGGCCGCTCCAAGGTGCCGCGCAGCGAGATCGCCGCCAAGAGATCGGCAGCCAATAATCACAGTAATAACAGTGCGACGAGCGGTAGTAGTAGCAGTGTCTTTGGTGCCGGTCGTGGTGCCGCCAGTGGTGTCGGTGCGAGTGGTGCTGGTGTTAACGTTCAGAGTAGTGGTGCCGTTGGTGGTGCTGGTGACGCCACGAGGCGAAGATCCCAGCAGGTGCAACAGGTCCAGAGGGACAAGAGAAAAGAGCCCGATTACATTATCATACCGTTGCACGGGCCCGAGGAGCGCGGCGACGACGACTACGCAGCAGCGAGAGAGCCGGAAGCGGAGCAACAACAACAACAACGACGACAGCAGCAGCAGAGAGGCGATGACTCGACGGGGAAAAAAAGCCAATTGGAAACGACGCCGTATAACGCCAGGTAAAGCTATAGAGCACCATTACTTTACCGATCTTTTCTCTTTCTTTCTTGTTGTTTTGTTTTTGTTTCGCGATGTGTATATAGCTTTCTCGCTTGGATTCGATCTTTTTTTACGCGCTACCACTACTGCCATCGAGCTAGATTCATGTGCAATCACGTTCTAGAGAAAATCGTTGCGTAGAGATCGTTCATCGCCAAAGCTCCATCCTCGCGTCATCTGTCGTGCATCTGTTGCGCGTCAAACCGCACATAACGCCCGAGTCATTTAATGTATAATTTAACACGAATCATCTGCGCCTCATGTTTGCGCTTTTGTAATGTGTGTGTACACAGAGCTTTGCGTATCTGCTTACGTTCACCATATACACAATCGAGTACAAATATCGTATACTCATACATAATTGTGTGCAACCGCGCGATCGAGTACGGATTACCGACGTTATAATAAGCAGCGTTATTATGTATATTACACGGTTTTAACGGCGCGACGATCATATGTTGACAAGCCGATGAACTCTCGGTCGAAGGATCGCGCATTGTGTATAATATCGGCGCACTCACGGGGGGAGCACGTGACGTCGTGTATACACACACACAGATATTTGGTGGGGAGATTCACGTCGAGCGATACACCCCACGCCGGTTTGTGTATTCGTATGGTAAATAATACGCAAGCGCGCGCCACAACCCGGGCGTTTGGTTTCTCACTCCTCGATCGCGGTGGTGACTGGCGGTGCGCAGCGGCAGCGGCGACGACGACGACGACTGCACACGTGTATTTTGTATACAATCGGGCATGCGGCACGTCCTATATACGGTTTTATGTATACATCCGTTTAAACGTATACACGCACTTTATACTGTACACACACAAACACACACACATTGTCGGAATATTGAGTTCGATTCCGAAGCCATATATACATCACGATTACGAGGCACGAATACATCTACATTGCGATACGAATGAATTTCTCAGGAGGCGAGAAAATTAAAAACTTCATTTCCGCTCGTTCTCTCTGTGTCTTTCTCTCTTTCTCTCTCTGTACTGTGTCTGCTTCGCGTTCATGCTCCAACGAGTTTCGATCGGTGCTTCTGCATGGGTGTATGTATACGTGCGTATTAATCTAGCGCAGCGAGGCACAGGTGTATTTAATACGATACAAAAGCCCGCGTGGTCGTCGCGCGCGAGCCTATATAGTCGGCTTTACAATATCGAGGCTACGTGTATCAATGCGAGCGAGGCATTTCTGTTTCGTTTATTTTACTTTTCGCTTCTTTTATTTTATTTTTTTTTTCTTTCGATCGAGTGCGCGTATCGCGTTTCGTCGTAACGGATTGAAAACGATGACACTTGACTTGTATATAAAGTAAATAAAAGTCGAAATGTAAATACACGAGCACGAAATTGATATAATGTTTTCACATAAAGCCCCGATTAATAAAACAATTAGCATCGGCATTGCGAAAAATTAACTTCTTTTCTCGCTGCGTCTCGCTCGTTATATATTTATATATAAAAGAGAGCAAGTGAGAGAGAGAGAGAACAGAGATGAGAGCAGCAGCAGCAGTAGCAGCAGCAACTCGTTAAGAAAGTCTCGCGGCGCACTGCTCCTTTTCTGCCCCAGAGAGTCTCTCTCTCTCTCTCTCGTTCTTTTATGTCGGCTTCTTAACTTGGAAAACGAGAGTATATCAACTCGAGCTTTTTTACGATACAATAGCTCCGGTTTAAAAAAAGAAAAAACGACGGCGACGACGAAGCAGAAAAAAAGCTCGAAGCTCGTCGAGTGTCGTCATTCATAAAGAGATTAAGTCGCACATCAGCTCACACGCGCGTATGTATGTGTATTGCAGCCGTGTCTTTTCTTCAAGGATGAGCCAACGACGATACACGTAACCGTTCGCATGTGCATCTCCGCCTCCTCCTGAGACGCTCGTAACGCGATTAGAAAAAAGCCCGCAGCTCGGAGCGCGATTTTTTCCGCGATCGCTTCTTGAGACAGCGCGGTATTTATAGTATTTACGATTGAAAGCGGAGCGAAACAAAACAAAAAGTCACGAACGTATTTTCCATCTGTCGATCGCGAGTGTGATGAGTCACGCATAGCAGACGGCTCGATCGGAGTGTGTGGACTGCTCCTCGTTATTTTTCTCTGTCTCGCTCGTTCGCAGTCGATGAAAAAATACACGTGTTTTTGACACAAGCAGACGCCAACGTGCTCGTATTAAATGTGTATACAATAACAAAGTTTGACTGTGATCGCGGCTACGCCGCGTTATATACACGATGAAATAGGAAAGTGTTACTTCCGACGCGCGATAAAATAATTTCTCGTAGTAATCCCTGCACGATCGCCACCCAGTCGAATTATTTTTCTGTCTCTCTTTCCGCGTATACATAATGAAAAAAGAGAGCAGACTGGGGGAATCTCGTAAGAAACGCGTACATCGTAGATCGACCAATTTCCGCTACAATGCGTTGGTTATATCATAAAGAGAAAAGAAAAGAAAAGAAAGGAAAAAGGAACAAAACAAAGCAATAATAACACGCTCGTTGAAAAGTGCCGTTCCGCCGTGAGCTGCGGCTCTCGACTACTACTATAGCTATGCGCGCGTACACACGCACACACACACACACACACAGGTATACCGGTATGTCGAGTATGCAGCGATGATGCCTCCTCCTCCTCCTCCTCCTTCTCCTACGAACACACGTAAACTCGCGCAAGATCGCAACTATCCTATAGTCCGTCTTCCTCCGTATACAGTCGTTCTTCGCTGCAGCTATATAATTTACGCGCGCGCGCACACATGTATACGTACGGCGCGGGGTACGCTGAAAGGAATGTGTCCCATAAGCGTATAATACGTTTTTCCGCTTTACCGCGGAGTTAGAGGTCACGAGGATCCTTGACCCCTTCTATTATAATCGAAAGACGATGAGCTACTGAAAGCTGTATTATACACCCAGTAACGTAGGGTCCGCTAGACACGCGAGTGTGTTCGGAAGGGGGCCAACACGATCGAGGTCAGCCCTGGGCACTCGAGAGTACGCGTGCACCGCGTCTCGGTTCTCTCCCCGAAATTTTGCTCTCTCTATATATGCGTGTTGTATGTATATACAAGCCAGCTTCCTCCTCGACTTGTTTACACGCGTTGTTTTGCCAGTCTGTATTTTTCTCTCTCTCTCTCTTTTCACGCACATCGGACGCGTGAAGCGAGCTGCTAATCGATCGCTTTTTCGCGCGCCCGGGACCCACCGCTCGAAATCGGATTTAATATCCCCCTGTGTGCTGCTCGGTCGCACCGGCTGGATTTAATCCCCCTTTTTCAGCAGCAGCAGCGTCAACCCCAAGTACCTAGGGTCAATTGAACAATCACGAGGCGTTTAGCTAAAATAATCTCCGACAATGACGAGCCGCAAGACTCTGATTTATTTTCTTCCCTTTCGATTTATACCGAATTTTGTGCGCGCACCTAGTTCTCCTTATCCAACTTGGAAGCGCACATAATACACATATATAGCTCCGACTCGGTTACGTAAGATTCCAGCCGCAGCTCTGCGGCAAATAATGCTGCTGCTGCTGCCGTCACATACAGATCGCCCAAAATTAACCGCACGATGCGGAGTATACGCGCTTAGAATCCATTAATCCTCCGATTCTTTTACGCATTCAATTTTTTTTCAATTCTCTCGCACACACACTCATTGGTCTCGATCCGATCTATACACAATCCCGATATTACTGGCGCATTCTCCAAATAGCTCAGGTATATTGACCTTATTGCGGTCTCGCGTTCTCTATTGCGTATTGATTCATCTTCCTTCGAATCTCTCTCTCTCTTTATACCGTGTAAGTATATCTGTTTATAAAAACAACGACTCGTATTATATACTCGCCCGAGTCTCTTTCAAGTGGGTCGACTGTAAAAGGGAGAGAGAGAGAGAGAAATTCGCGCGCTCCGTTTCTCCGCTGTATATATACCGCCGCCACTGCAGCATGTGCGCGACGCGCGCCCGAGGTCGGGTTAAACTTGTTGAATTCGGATTTTATCGATCCTCGCTCGAGTGCAGCATTCGTGCGCTTGTGTGTGTGTGTGTGTAATACGTATACGTGCACGCGCACACATAAGCTGGATCTCCGAACGAATTAGCCTACTCTAGACGCCCGCCCGCGTACGTGTGTTTTTATGCGCGCGAATAAACGTATTTTTCGTTGTCGTTGTTAATTATGGATGTAATTACATCCAGTCGCCGAAGCCCGCGCGCAGCGCTCGAGTATTTTGCTGCTATCCTACTCTATATACTACGGCCGAGTAGTAGAGGCGCACAATGAGTTTGTCTTTGAATTATATCGCCGAGCGAGCGAGCTTCCGTCTCTTGCACACACACACGTACGTGTATACGACGTTGCTTGATAAATGGGACATTTCTCTTTTGGCTGCCGAGCGATTTATACATTTCCAGCGCCTCTTGGCTTCGGTATATTTATATATTATACATATATATTATAAATAAATTCGCGAGTGTCGAAAAATAAACAGTCTGCGGCGTTCCGAGATTCTTGCGACACACATATATCGTAAGGTTAATACGAACTTTGAATATTTCCGGGTTAGCAATTTTTCGCCGTCAAAAAATGCACGCGTCGTTTCTCGCCATCTCCGAGACCCTCAAAAATGAAATAATAATAATGAAAAAAAAGGGTTGAATTATCCCTTTGCGATACGGGCAAATACGGGCTCGTGGCAGTATATTTGAATATAGGCGCGCTTTGTACTTTTATAAGTGTTTTCCACGATTCGGCATATTTCATCCGTACCATTCGAAGATGATAAATTATATGGGATACTTTCCATTCGACTCGCGAACACTACTTCTTTTTATTTTCGCCGATTCTAATTTATATGCATGATAAAACAATTTCATATATACGTTCGAGATATCGTCGAGCGCGCGCGCACACACACTCATATAGCGAGCCGAAAGAAAACTTTTC